GGTCAGTTTCAGCAGCGGCTGAATCTGGACGCCAGTTCCGACTTACATACAGATTCAACTTAAGAACAAACCTACAGTCCCTATCTTGTACGTAACCCGGGGACTGCCTGTAGTTGCAAATCCCATATATTCTGCATGGCTACATTTATACTGGCATGATCTTGCGCAAGAACTCTTCCAGAAGAGAGCGTCTACACTGGCATATGCGTTTGCGCAAGAGATGTGCTTTTGCGCAAGAGCATCCATGCCAGTGTAGACGCTCTTTTGCGCAAGAAAGCTCTGATGGCCATTTTAACCATCGGGCTTTCTTGTGCAAGAAATTCATGTTGCCTGTCTACACTGGCCTCTTGCACAAGAACAGTTGCGCAAAAGGGCTTATTCCTGAGCGGGAGCATCAGAGTTCTTGCGCAAGAAGCCCTGATTTCATACATTAGAACATCATTGTACTTGTGCAAGAACTCACGGTTAGTGTAGACAGGCAGCAAGTTTTTGCGCAAAAGCGCTTGCTTTTGCGCAAGATTGCACCAATGTAGACACAGCCCATGAGGTGCTACAGAACCTGTACGTGTCAAATTCAAAGAAACAGTCTTCTTCTACATTATAGGGAAGCTATGTAACTTGTGTGCATGATAGCATAACATTGCCCCTTCTGACCACTCTACTGTGGGGTTACATTGGCATAAGACCTTTCTTTGCATGGAGAGGTGACATACATATGACTTTTCAGCTTCAAACACCTTTTAGTTATTAACTACCTGAGCCTTACAACATTTCTCGGTGGTGGCTAGTACCTTTCCTAGAGGATAAATGAGGAAACAGGAGATGCAGTTAGCAGAGTTATGTGCCCTCAGAGAAGCCACACAACAGACTCAATGGCAGAGCCAATGTTATGTGTCAAGTGTTTCTGGCTGTTAATTACATATTCAGTCTGCTAGACCATGCCCCTCAAACGCAGGTACATGGGAATGGTTTGTATAATGGGGGGTGCTAAAAGCCACTGAACCAAACTTTAGACCTTGTCTATGATGGAAACCACTTCAAGCGGGCGGGGGAGTGGGGCAGGTCCCCTAGGTCCAGCACTTATGCAGAAAAAGTGAAATTCTAAAACACTGATCAAACAATAGAACTAATACTGTAGTGACTGTTATTCTAGTCACTGGGTGGTACTAAAGCACTAAGCACAGGTGTATTTTGCAGTTGTTTGTGCTGTTAACGCTCTCTCCATTCACGTGGTTAATAAAGACCTTGAAGAGATTGTTGGCGATTTTAGAGGATTCTACAGGCAACTCACCAGTGATGGACAGCTCCGATGGGTAAGGGGTATCTTACAGAGTGTTGTTGTGAAGTGGATGGCAACAAACGTGAATTTGTGTTCTGAACATACTGTTAAGGACATATACAAATATTTGTAGATTTTTAAATCTCTGTGCAGTTATGGGGGAAGAGAGAGAATTTCTCTTTCATATACAGGGCCATACCACTGTAGTAGGATCTGCCAGACAGAACACTTACACCCATCCAGAGCCCTGTTTTCAAAGGGGCTGCAGATGAATGCAAATAGCCACCCACATAGATCCAATAGCAATAGTGGAGCCTAGGGTTCAGATTCTTTGTTTTCCTGTGTTTAGAACCCAAATGCTGTGTCTTCACTCATTATTTTTTCCCCATTTTTTGACTTACAAGCGTTCATGAAATACTCAGTGGCTGGTATTCTTGGAAATAGAAAACTCAGCTAGTAATACGACAAGTATATAGCCATGATACAAATCTCATAATGCACCTAATACTTACTTCAACTTCAGATTTTTCTCAGGTTAGAAGCAAGAGATTCATCTTTTTAAGTTTAGTATTTTTTCCTTTGGTGAATTGTCCAGCAGATGTATAAATTTGTGAACGGCCATTAACTAGAAATGAATACATCAAGAGATGATCAACCATTGTAGCTAACTATATGGTTTTTTTTCAACAGATTGGACCAGAGAAAGGTGCTGTGCATTTGGCCACAGCTGCTGTTCTGAATGCCGTGTGGGATTTGTGGGCTAAGCAGGAGGGAAAGGTGATGCACTTAGAGCTCATGGACCAAAAATGTCCCTGTATTTGTTAAATTAGAGAGTAACCTATACCTGATATGTTTTTTCCAGTTTTAGGCCCTGATCCTAAGTTCCTTGATGCATACCATTGAGTTTGCTGGGACTGTCCATTTTTCAGGACTCTGGTTTTAGTAGTTGACATTTATTCACCACTTACCAGTAGAGCTAGTCAGGAAAAAAAACAGCAAATTTTTTTGTTTGAATTTTAACCAATAATGATGTCTTTACAAAAACTTGTTTTATTTTTGACTTACTCTACTTTACTAATTTTTTTTCCTGATTTCCTTTTTATTCTCCCTTTGCAGACTGTTCATAAAGTTATGAATTCCTTGTAACCTCTTGTCTAATATGTTGTATAACTATATCTAATATTATATCATAAGCTGTTTTGGCACAGGTTTGTCTAATTTGTTTTACTATATCTAATATTATATCATAAGCTGTTTTGGCACAGGGATCATATATTTCTATATGGGGACCTAGCATCTTCTTAGATGCTGTAAAATAAATAACTAGGGCATGAATTATCACTTTGTTGTGTTTGTACCGCACCTGACACAACAGCATATTTATCGATGATTCAAACACAAAAGGAATAGTTAGTAATACTGTACAGATTAAACCTCTTTAGTCCAGCATCCTTGGGACATGACCAGTGCTGAACCAGAGAATCTGCTGGACCACAGGAGGTCAATGTTTTCTAGTAGCATTATCAACATTTCCACTGCTTGCTGGGCTTTTAGAAGACATTTAAGGGCAAATTAGACCTAAATAACAGCACAGAACACTGACAGCCAGGACTGGAGGTTGTAAACAAACTTTATGCAACTGTGGAAAACTTAACCACATCAAGTTAACTAAAATCACACTGGACCATGGATGTTGCTGGATTAGAGGTAAAACTTGTACTAGTAATAACTACTACTATCTTAAGTTGGTCTAGTAAGAGATGTTACCTCACCCACCTTGACTCTCTTAATATCCTAGGACCAACAAAACCACAACAATAGTACATGCAGGTGTCTTACAGCGTTACTGTGCTACCTTGTTGAAGGAAAGGAAAGCTAATGGACACCTGTGAACTTGTGAGCATCCAAGAGAGGGACACAGCCTCAACAAACAGGGCATACAAAAGTAATGTCTTAAAAGTAAATCCTACAAGTAGAAAGCATCAATATCTTCAGGATAAACATCATTTCTAGGAGTAGTATCATGTCATCATTTCAGGCCTGACTAATTTAAGATAATAAAAGTGAGTTAACGCCAGATATTTGCAGGGCTACGATTGGTATCTTGGCCATAATGTGGCAGAGCTGAGAGAGATGTTCTTAGCCTGGGGCTTGGTATCTTGACTCTTCTGTCTTGGTCTGAGGACCACATTGGCCGGAGGCATTTGGCGTTAAATGTAAATTTTTCCACCCTTACTCTTTGTCATTTCAAGACACATATGTCACCTATATGTTACTATTGTATGATCTCCACTCACTTCATATCATTTAATTGTTTTGTTTTTTAGCCTCTATGGAAGTTACTAGTTGACATGGTAAGAAAATCTTATATATGGGGATAACATTACCAATGTTCCACATTCATGTTTTTCCTCATTAAAAGAGTAAAAATGTCAGTCATATCAAGGCTAAAATTGCCTCTTACAGCCACGGAGTTCATTCCAAGGCTCTAGAAATCCAGAGGTTCAGCAACCTTTGGATGTGACTTTCTGCTCTTCTCCTTCCAAAGTGTCTATTTCTGGCACCACACAGCTGTGCAAATCAGCCTTTTTAGTGGGAGCATGGTTACAGACTTTGCCCTGTTTAACTACAATACTGTATGAGACAACTGGAGTCCATCTATACTTACACCAATAAATTAAGTTTTTAAAGTGCAGACCTAAAGGTTGATCCGAACCCTTATGATTAGGCTGAGGAGCTGTCTTTTTTTTTTTTTTATGCCAGGACAAATCATAGGGCTCCAAAAACTGAAGTATCACTAATCATGTTTGAAAATACAGGCCTCTGTGTACAGTAATAAATGCAGGAGTTAGATGTAGTTACAGAAAACAAATCTCTTGATCCTTTAGTAGCCGATTTTATGTTCAGATATTAAGCAGATGCATAAATCATTGCAGGATTGAGGACTTAGTATGCTTTTTGAAATGAAATCACTTGAGGCATGTTAAAAAAATCTCATGTCTTCAGTCTCTTCTCAGCAGTCTATTAATCTTGAATAATTTTTTGGTGTAAAATATATTTAATTAGGTTTTTCTTAAACTGTTTCAATAAATTGCTTTTAGTTCTCTCTCTTGAGCCAGATTTTCAAAGGAGTCAAAAAGCAGGCTCTGGTGCTGAAAGCACTTCATTTCTCTGTGGAAAATTATAGTCTGTACAGATTTGAACACTCAGAGCATTCCAGATGTATTAGAATTTTTTACTATTACGCCATGATCTTGCAAAGATTTTTTACATGCTTAACATTAAGCATGAGTGGCACCATTGAATTAAATAGATTTATTCTCACGCTTAAAGTTAAGCACATGCCTAAATATTTATTGGATTAGAACCTTCAAGTTTGCCAAAGTCAGTTAATCAGTTTTATTTTAGAATCCATGAGTCCGTGTGTGTGTGTGTGTGTGACACAGAGAAAAGGCTGATACATTTAGCAGCTGTATGAGCCATCTAGCTAATGTGATTTTCATTGTACTTTGGTATTTGTTTTACATTAAATATGTTATTAACAGGACCCCCACCAGTTGTTATCCTGCATAGATTTCAGGTACATTACAGATGCACTAACAGAGAAAGAAGCTTATGGTAAGTCGTCATTCTGTCAAGACAGATTCTGATCCCCTTACTTTCTTAGCTGTCTTTGAGTTGATGTTGTGGGGACTGCTCAAGAAGTAGGGCATTACTCCTTGTAAGTAAAGGGATCCGAATCTTGCTTTATGAAAACAGCTGGGTGAGGTGGTACGATCTGGGAATCTGGAGGAATTGAACTTTGATTAATGCAATAATTTTCCTCTCTCTGTCCCCCTCCCACTCCCATATAGAAATACTCCAAAATGGCCTACGTGGGAAGAAGGAAAGAGGTAAGTTTAAACCAAGTTTACTTTCACTGTCTCATAGGAGAATAAAGGACTGAACCCGCTGCATGATTGATATGGCTTTCTGGATCCTAATCCCTGGAAAATGGAGTGTGACAATTGAGATTTTCATGTGAGGCTCAATGCATCATGTGATGTCTCCTTCCAAGTTATTGGCAAGGTGGTAGATGTATATACAGGGAGGGCTTGTGCTGTCATGGTGGCCATTTGCCTCAGAACTTATGTTTATGTCAGTCACAATGGCGTGGGGACGGTGCTGGGTGTTACATCCTAAAGCTCTTTTTCTAAGCTGAAGCTCTCCCACATTTTGGAAGAGTAGGTAGAGCCCTGCACAGACACAAAATTGATATCCACATCCGCAAAAATGGTTCATGGATATAAAGCAGATGCCTGCAAATTTGCGGAGTTCTCAATACAAAATTTGTTTCCACAAAAATGAGCTGCAGTTATCCACATCTGTGGTTGCAGATATAAAGCAGATATTCATGGATTTGCAGGGTTCTAAGTATAGGGAGGATTTTTCTAGGCAAGTTTCATCTGCCCTTATTAAATGAGATGACTGATTTTTAAACACCTTTCATTTCCATGAATACCAGTCTCTCAAAACTGTCATCTGAACTAATCATCTGGTAAAGAGAAAACAGCATATGTTCGCTGGTGACATTCTTTGTCTTTGTAGAAGAGCACATGCTAAAGCACGGATACCCTGCTTACACCACATCTTGTGCCTGGCTGGGCTACCCGGACCAGCAGCTAAAACAGGTTGGAGTCTTTGACTTTAGGTTACAGAAGTAAGAATTTAAACATTTCTGTCCCGTGGGGAATATTAATAGGTGCTGATTCAGCATTCAGGAGTTGCTTCATTTTGGGCTCAGATGCAAAGAGAAACAATGAAGCATTGCATATCTGGGGTAAGGGCCCTGTTCTATGGGCCTTGTTGTTCATTGGCTTTTGTGTGAGCCATCGTGGGAAGGGTTTTGTTTTAGCTGTCGTTGTTTGGGAATAAGCGTATCCATTGCCAGCCAGTTTATGTTGATGTATTGTGTAGAACTAGAGGATTACACTAATGCAGCTGTATTGGTGCCACAAGGAGCTTTATCTATATGGGGATGCTCAGGAAAGTGAAGATGAATTAACAAAAGATGTAAAGTGAAAGCAGATTAAACCCCTGAATGCACTAGGGATGTTAAAAAGGGGGGCAGTGGGGTTGGTAAATGCGTTAACAACTGAAAATGTCAGTGGTTCACATTTTCATACGTGGGGAGGTGGCTCCCTGCATGCACGTCCCACCCTCCTCCGATTCTGCTGCCTCTGTATCAGAGGTAGCAGTGTGGGGGTACAGGTGGGAATCAGTGCTTGTCTCACAGAGCTGCCTCACCCTCCCCCCGCTGCTGCCTCTGAGGCAGCAGCGCAGGGGGTGTGGGAGGGAGGCAGCTCTATGGGAGCCAGCTTAAAAGCTGGCTCCCTCGAGCTTTGGCTCCTGCCTGCTCCTCCATCCCCCCACACTGCTGCCTGTGATACAGAGGCAGCAGCACTGGTGGGGGTGGGGACAGCTTGCATGTAACTATGAAGATTAATCAGTGAACCCAGGCTCATCAGTTAACTGTTTAAATGTATACACTAGTGTGGACACTCTCCTTCAGAAGTAAAATGGCCTTAGTTTGCTATAGCTAAATACTCCTTCAAAGTAAAACACCATGAAGACTCTTCACAGCTCTGGAATCTGAGGTCTGGTTAATACCATTTAATATCTGGTTTAATTTTTGGATAAGTTCAGCTTTCTGTATATCTGGAAATAGAATTGATAGATCATAGGGCTGCCTCAAGTATTTCTTTACATACCCTGAGGAGTCTGATCATACATTTAATCTGTGTGTTATTCATATCTTTGCTCTCCAGTACTGTGTGTTCTGCATTGATGTCAGTAAAGAAATGGCTAGAAAGTTCATCCTAGGTTAGACAGCTTGTAAATAAATATTAGTTGTTGATGGCACAGTTACTTGAAGATTATAATAGGTGTAATTTTCTCTGCAGCTATGCATGGAGGCATTGAAGGATGGCTGGACAAGGTGTAGTAAACAATTCTCATATTCTGAACTTTGCTGTTTAATGATTAGTAGCAAGTGGAAATACATTATCAAGATCAGTCCTGATTTCACAGAGCAACAGACTATGAATAACCATATAGGTCTTTTCAATCTCTACTTTCTGAAAAAAGATGTCTTTGATTCTGATATTTCTTTAAAAGTTTTTCCCTTTCTGTTATTCTATAACAGACCATTACAATAAAAATCTAAGTAAATGTATAGCAAAACCAGCAGTCCTCCTGACAAGCTATATATAAGCTAGTAGCTAACGAAGGTAACTGCTTTATTGCTAATTCATCAAAAAGTATTTGCTGTCTTTTTCTTCTTTATTAAGCTAGAATGAAGTGTGCTAGATGAGGGACAGACGTGATCAGAAAATATTGACCTTAAAACACTGACTCTTAACAAAGAGGAAAAGTTATCACTACATGAACCATGGTGAAGTGACCTACATTTTATTACAAATGTTGTGTCTAGGTTCAAAGTAAAGGTTGGTGCTGATCTGCAGGATGACATTCGTAGATGCAGACTTATAAGAGAAATGATTGGCCCTGACAACGCACTGGTGAATATTTTGTAATAACTACACTACTTCTAAGTAATTTTAAATATAAAATGGCTGTCTGTTCATGTAGGCTTTGGGACAGGATGAGATTGTGGCATTCTTGAAAGATATATTTTTCCCACACCAAATATCTCTCATAGATATAACATTAGAATGTAGCTGTCTGTGAGTCTGTCTGATTCTGTTTGTTCAAGAACTCCTCCTAAACACTAAGAGCTAGGGCCATCAAATTTGATATGCAGTTTGCCCTTACCCTACTTAAAGCAAGGTCAGGGTTTGGTTGTGCCAGGAAAATAAGAGGTGCTGGGAATGAGATCGTTTTCCAGAATGTGGAAAGAGAGGGGGCTTCTGTTTGGAAGGTTGCGATGTTGCAGAGTGAACACTGGGGCAGCCGCAGCACTGAGTGGTGAGCTGGGGCTAGGACTTGCAATCTTGGCTGTAGCACCGGCCTGGGTAGGTAAAGAGCCCAGCCAGCCAGGGTGGATGGTGGTAGAGTCCTGCCGGACAGGCAGAGTGGAGATAGTGGAGATAAAGAGCCCCACTGGATAGGACCCCTCACCCTGAGCCTTTCCTCACCCCCCCCCCTCACATTTGCATGCACCCAGCCTCTTGCCCTGTCCTCCTCCCATCTCTAAGGCCCTACCCTGACTCCTGAACCCCTCACACTGCCCTGCAGGACCCCAAATAAGTATTCTTGTCCTGAATAATGATGGCTGCACATATCGCTTACACCCAGGAGAGTTAAGAAACTGTATCATGAAAGTATGTGTGTCATTAAGAGATCAAACATGTGTTTATTGTGAAAAAACTCCCTTTGAAATTCCTGTGACTGTTGCCTGAATAAGGACTACAGCAAAGTAGAGATGGTTGAAAAACTTAATTTTCTGCACAAAACTGAACAATTATGGCTTAAAAAAAACCCAGCCAAATGCTTTTATATTAAAGTGATAAATTTTGATTCAGAAAAAGTGCTGTGCTGTATCACAGGAGTTGTAATTTGAGTACTCGTGGTCCTTTAGAGTTTGGGTTCCTTAGCTGGACTGTACTTCTCATGACTCACCAGTTTCCCATCTTGACTAAGCCAAAAGTGTGTAGTCATAGGAATTGTAGTTTGGGTGGAGAGCCTGCAGTGGTTCTCAATCAGTGGTTTGGGGCTCCCTGGGAGGATCGTGAGCAGGTTTCAAGGAGTCAGCCAAAACAAACCAGAGAGCAGGGCTGGCATTAGACTCACTGAGGCTCATCACAGAAAACTGAAGCCAAGGCTCGCTGTCTGGGCCTGAAGCCAGAGCAACTTGCCTCTGCAGGGCCCCCTCAGGCATGGGGCTTTGGACAGTTGCCCTGCTAGCTACCCTGTAATGCTTTTAATTTCCTGGATATGCAGAGAAGCCGTTGTTGTGGCACGGATGGGCTGTGGCATTTTTCTAGCATGCTGGGGGAAGGCACTCGGCTCAGAAGGGAAAAGGTTGAGAACCGCTGCCACAGAGGAAAGTGAGAACATGAGGCACCTGAATTACAACTCGTACTAGGCACTGGGACAGCATTTCCACATCAGGTGTTTTGCTTTTCAAGTGTTCAGTTTTCAACACAAAGTTCAAACTTTCCATGGAGAGCAAAGACCTTTTTGGGAACTTTTCTTTAGTCAAATACCTACTTTGCTGACCAACCCCTCCCACCAGCACCCAAACCCCTCCCAGTTCTGTTGAATATTTTCAACCATCCCTATTCCAGAGTGATTTATTCATTTGCTATATAGGAATTGCTTTGCTTGCTACTGAAACAAGTATTTCTGGAGTTCAGTGTGGCACTTCTATAATGGAGTACAAGAACAATGCACAGAAAGTCAGGAGAGAAGTTGACGGTGACATAGTCATTTGAAACCTGCTGGGGAAATTCAAAAAAGCAGAGTACAATTACCTTGGTTGAAATTATGTGGTGAAATCAGATCATTTTGTAAGACATTTCCTGGGATCTTTTAATAATTTACAGAGCACCAGGTTATTTGATTTAACATGTAAATTCAAAGCAACATTTTCTGCAAAGCGTAATTTCCGGGTTTCTATCTGGAGTTAATCTTTTAGGTTATTATTTTATCCCTATATTTGTTGAATCTAGAAATTGTAGAACATGTGCTATGTAATGTGATATGATGGATTAAAGATCAGAAAACAAAAGTTGGGACAATACTGTCTGCATTTTCTTTATTTATTAATTCATAGAAACATGGATACAGTGCCATATATAAAAATTCAGTAGAGTCATATAAGTGAATCTGATTTGTAATTATTCTTCAGATGCTGGATGCTAACCAACGATGGGAAGTAAAGGAAGCAATAGAGTGGGTCACTAAATTAGCTGAATTTAAACCATTATGGATTGAGGAGCCAACATCTCCTGATGATATCCTTGGACACGCAGCCATTTCTAAGGTTGAAGTGTTTGTTTTTCATTTCAGCAATGACATAGTGACTACACATTGGAGAGCAGCAGTGATTCATTGACACTGCTGTTTGGAATGTTCAAAGTTCAGCCTGAAACAGCTGTCAAAAGTCATTAAATATGTTTGCTGCAAGATCCTGGGCACACCCTGTATTTGTATTCCACTCCATTTAAATGAGTAGCATGTTCCAGAGATTAGATAAAAGGCTATGAGACTATCATGTTTGCACAAATAAAAGCAACCAGGCTATGCCCTGAAAGGATGTTAAATTGCAGTTAATTGACTAGTCAGGTAGTTGATGGAATTTCCATTGACTACTCGATTAGTTGATAGGCACTTCTGCATTCCTCCTTTAAAATGTACAAGAGCCCCTACCGAGGCTTTTACATTTTAAAGGAGGAATGCGGAACTCCGCGTGCACCCCGGGGCCATTGGAATGTCCTGCTAACTCAGGGCTGCACGCTGGCGTGCCTGCTGTGAAATGTACAAGAGCTCCCAGTGGGGGCTCTTGTGCATTTTAAAGCCATGGAGCCTAGGGATTTCTGCGCAACATTTCAGCAGAACCCAGGATCAGCTGGGGACTCCCAGCTGAAATGCCGTGCCGAGCCCGGGACCAGCAGGGGAATCCCCAGCTGACTCTAGGCTCCATGGCTCTGCCCCTTCGAAACGCCAAGGTGGTGTTTCAAAGGGGCAGCACCGCACAGCTGTGCCTGGGATCAACTGTGTGGCTGCCCCTTCTAAACGCCAAAGCAACATTCAAAGGGGCAGTGCTGCATAGTTGATCCTCTGCTCAGCTGTGCAGCGCTGCCCCTTTGGAATGCTGCCTCATTATTTCAGAGGGCAGCTGGGGAGTCCCCGACTGACCCTGGGCTCCACAGTGCTTACGCTGCCTCATTATTTCAGAGGGCAGCACAGTCAAGCCCAGGGTCAGCTGGGGAGTCTCCGACTGACCCTGGGCTCCACAGTGCTTCAGCATTTTAAAGGATCAGCCCCGCACAGCTGATCCACGAATCAGCTGTGTGGCAGCTGCCCCTTTGAAATGTCGCCTTGGGGTTTCAAAGCGGCAGCGTCACATAGATGATCCCCAGCTCAGCTGTGCAGCGCTGCCACTTTGAAGTACCCCTTCTTCCATCCCCCTCCCCCGTTGCTGCCTGTATCTGATGGAGGCAGGGAGGGGATCGACTAGTCTTTAACATCCTTATCCTGAAACGTGTGTGCTTTTTCACCTATGTGGATTGGTGTTTCTATAGAGTAATGCTAACCCAGGACATTTATTCATAATGTGATACAGTAATGCTAGAGCCCCAGGTGTATATCCCCGTATGACAGTACACTCCCTCTTACATAATTCTTCACATATTATTGGAGCAGGGGGAAAACAACATAAAATATGGTAACAAAAATTTACACCACACTTAGCTAACAAAGTGCAATGTTTGTTACGTGCAACGTATTTGGAAAAAGTTGTTTTCTTTCACCCTGTCCCCTCATTCTGGTGAAACTTGGGGATTACCAATTAAAAGCATATTCTTTGGTTTTTGTTTATTATTTATTTTGTAGGCATTGGCACCATTAGGAATTGGTGTGGCAACAGGAGAACAAGTAAGTGGATGGCTAATTAATTTTTAATTCAGTCTTTTTTATTTAATGTAGCCCCTGTGACTTAAGAATGTGTGCCAAAATTCACTTTGTCTCACTTGAGACTTAAATAACATGACTGCGAATGTGTGCCAAAATTCACTTTGATGTCTCACTTGAGACTTAAATAACATGACTGAAGACAGCCTTAGATTTATTTCATGTAACTTAAGACCAACTAATACTTTTGATAGTGCCCTACCAGATTCACAGCCCGTTTTGGTCAATGTCACAGAAAGGATTTTAAAAATTTGTGAATTTTATGATTTCATGGTGGTGTTAACTGCAGGAGTCCTGACCCAAAGGAGTCTTTGAGGGTGGGGGGTAACAGGGTTATTTTAGAGGGCTCGGGATATTTCCTTTCTTACTTCTGTACTGCTGCTGGCAGAGTGCTGCCTTCAGAGCTGGCTGCCTAGCCAGCTGCTGCCACTATCAGGCCAACCAGCTCTGAATGCAGTGAAGTAAGATGTAGGAAGGCAATATTGCAACCCCCTGCAATAACTTTGACACCCACTCTTCCTCTGAGACACCTTTTTAGGTCAAGCTTCCCAGTTTGAGAAATGCTGCTGTCCACCATGAAATCTGTAAGATAGGTAAAAGTATACAAAAGATCAGATTTCATGTGAATTTGTAGGGCCCTAATCATCTCATTGAACTGGTCTGCTGTAATCCAGAAGAAGAAATAAGTCTTTCAGAGCCAGCAAAACCACTTTGTATTCACTACTGCTCTCTGAGTGCTGCAGTAACCATACCATTCATATAATGGGTAATATGCAATTCAAAGTGGTAATTTTGCTTGATTAAAACAAAAACCATGGAATTGGGACTCCGTTCTGATCCTAGGTCTGCTGCTGAATTGCTGCATGAACTTAAGCAAATAGTGACATTTCTGTGTGCCTCAGTTCATAGGGTAGTAAAATGGGGATAATTCTTTTAAGCCTCTACCTTACAACTGTATGTAATTATTTAATGTTTATAACATGCTCTGAAGTCCTGTGCACTTCTGGGAATTGGTCCAGCTAAGTGATATAACGAAAAGAACTTGGTTTTAATGGGAAGCATAGTGGGAACATTGCAAGTCAAAGCAATTGTGTATTGCCAACAGTTCTTGTAATATCCTGCTAATTCCTTACAATCTGAGGCTTAACATTTTTTCCTCCCCTCCCACCCCCACTCCTTTCTGCAGTGCCACAATAGAGTGATATTTAAGCAGCTCCTACAGGCTAAGGCCCTGAGCTATCTCCAGATTGACAGCTGCAGGCTGGGAAGTGTGAATGAAAACTTATCTGTGTTGCTGATGGCAAAAAAGTTTCAAAGTAAGGCTCCTGGAAGTGTGTCAGTAGCACTAAAACAGCTTTTGTTCTAAGTCAGTTTGACACAGAGCTGCTTCAGCTGTCATATTGTTAACTCATGGACATGCACTTGTATATAGTTCAGCCATTTGTTTTCTGTCACGCTTTCTTACTAATTCAAAGTGCCTCTGGTCCCTTATTACTGGGAGCTGAACTTCCCTTGGGCTGCTGAGGGGGTTATTGAAGTTGCAGTTAATTATTGAGTTGCTTGTGTATCAGCTCTGCTGCTGGTTGAGTCATTTGCCATTACTATTCAGATTGGTTTAAAAAGGGATTGTTGTGTTTTCATTTCAGTTCCTGTTTGCCCTCATGCTGGGGGGGTTGGGCTCTGTGAGTTGGTACAGCACTTGATAATATTTGACTATATTGCAGTATCTGGAAGCCTTGAAAACAGGTTAGTAACGTAAAACACTAATGTAACAATCAATAAGGGTGATGGCTTATTATTTCAAAAGGCATTGACCTGCAATAATAATCAGTAAACAGCGCACTTCCCTGTGTCTCTCCCAGAGGAATTTAAACCAGTCAGAAGTGTGTGAACTTTACTTTGGCAATTGCCTAGCAAGCAAACAGCCAGGAGTATTTTTGACAGACTGCTTGCTATTCTTTGAACTAATATTTTGTCAACTCTCTCTCTAACCTACAATCCCACTCTCCCCTCCTTCCCCTTACTTGAATGGCAGCCCAACACAAACAAAACCAAAGGATTAGCTCATTGTTCTAAATTGAACAGTGTTCTAGGTGTAGCTTCCCGGAAAGATCTGACTTCGTCCCTAGTCTTGTTTAATAGCAGCTTAGGTTCATATTAGCCTTTTTTACATGCAGTGAACATTTTTTTTTCATATTATTGCAAACGAAGATTTCCTGAATCTCTTCTATGGGCTGTTTAACACTATTCTTCACACTAATATTTGCAAGAAAATTAAAGTAAAATATCGTAGCCTCACATTTTAAAATTAGCTGTATTAGAAACCATTCCTTTTGTTTTGATCTTCTCTATCTCTGGAACAGTATTTTACTGGTCCCCAATCACAGCAGTGTTCTTACTAAATTCCAAAACTAAGAAGGAGCAAACCCCTTGTCAGCCCTTTAGCTGCTGTATTTGGAGACTTCCATATGCAGAAACTAGTCTGGTTTATATCCTTTAAATACCTATATTAGATGCATACATTTGTATCTACATGGGCTGGCATAAGAATCAAGCTTTTGCAGTACTTTGGAATAAGGATGTAGGCAAGTATTCAACTACCTGATAAGCCTAGGCTTATTGAATAGTCAACCTGATTACTCAACTGCTCACATTTTCCCAGCACCATCTCCATGGTGCCACCTGCCCCTCCTGCATGAAGAGGGAGCTGGGGGCAAAGGAGGCTGCTGCAAAGCAAAGCAGCTTCTGCCTATGGCAGGCTCACTGCGAGCAGAGGCTGCTTCACATATCACTACATTTAAACTGCAAAGCTGCAGCAGGGGTAGCTCCAGGACCCAGCATGAGCCGGGACTGAGCCCCTTCCCTTAACTAATTGTGTAGTCAATACAGATTGTATCAACTACACAATTAGCCAGTTACCTGCCTCAACATCCTTCCTTTGGAAAATACACAATCAGTAAAGACATCTCTTCTCTATAATCTTACTGTCTGTATTGAAAAGAAGTTTGATTCTTACTCTAACTCTACATCCTGCCCAAAAGGCTCATCTTCTATGTATTCTTGTTTTGACTCACTTTGAGACCATCAATCCTTGACTAAAATGCCAAGTAGCTTCTATTTTACCTATGTGAAGTACTATCTAGCAGTAGTCTCTGCTTCTAAAAGGCCTCCTAACTTGATCAAGAGAGCATGTTTACACTGCTGTTTTTTTCCCCTGCAGAAGATATGCAAATCATGCTCTCATTTGCATATCTTCTGCCAACCCTTTTTGCAGAAGAGGTTTTGCCGCTAAAAAGCTCCATGTAGACGGGGCCATTTGTCGCAAAAAACTCTTTTTCGCAAGATCCCTTATTCTTCAGAAAATGAGGCTTACAGGATCTTGCAAAAAGGGTTTTTTCTGACAAATGGCCCTTGTTTACACGGGGCGTTAGCAGCAAAACCTTTTCTGCAAAAAAGATCCGCAGAAGACATGCAAATGAGCACAATTTGCATATCTTCTGCTGAAAAAACCCAGCAGTATAGACCTAGTCTAGGATAGTGGTGCACAACCTGTGGGTCGAGATAGGAAGACATCCATGACCCCTGAGGGGTTCCAGCGCACGACGCCTAGATCTGGCTCGTCAGGGATTGGGCCAGGCAGTTGGCAGCCCCCACCGCCTGGGTGGGGTCCCAGATCAAAAAGGTTGCGCACCACTGGCCTAGGATACAAATAAGTCCAACTTTTACCTCAACTTTGTTTCTTTGACTGGGATATAGTCATGAACAAGTGGATTTGGTAAACTGAAAATCACCCTTCCTCTTTCTTGTAGGATGTGTGAGTACGTAGATCATCTGCATGAACACTTCAAATATCCTGTCATCATCAAGAAAGCTTCATATGTACCACCTCAGGTATGCTGTGAGAGTATCAACTCTATTTAAATAGCCCAATAAAGAAAATTGCTTAATGACAAGCAATTAAAAATTAAGATTGTTTATGAAAGACTCTTACAAAGTGGTCTACAGAATAAAAAGTTGGAGATCATACTTAACTATTGCATAAGCATGGCATTTTAGAACTGCTAAAATGAAAGGCATACATTCCAGCACATATGCTTCAGGAAACAGAGTGTGATCCTGTTTTAAAACTTCAACCTAAAACAATTCTCTAGGTAGTGATGTTTGATATTTTTGCATTGCTGGGCTAACCAACTTAGGTAAAAGTATTAATACTTAATTCTCTGTTCAGATGGAAAAGAGGACTTGTGGGAGGTTAACCCCCTAGAGATATTTTAAACTGTTTTAAGAAGGGGCTCATTTTCATTGAAACTCATATTCCCAAACTAAAGGTGGTTGTTTAACTATTCTGTTGAGCACAGACTTGTTAAATGGAAAACCAGAGTTGGCACCATTCCAGCAGCACAGAGAATAAAACAATTATTCTCTAGTTGCATGACAGCAATTATCTGAAAGAAGAGAGGACTAGATACAGTATCACTTTCTAATATTTTTTCTTAATTGTGTAGGATGCTGGATATTCCACTGAAATGAAAGAAGATTCTGTGAGGAAATACCAATTTCCACAGGGAGAAATTTGGCAGAAACTCCTTTCTAACCCATAAAATACAACTGCATCAAGCTTAACCCTGACAGTTTCCAGGTTGATACAAGGTTTTAGCTGCCAATAAATATTTTTGTATAACTAAGCATAAGTTTTCAGGAATTAGTATAACAATCTAAGGCTGTCTAGTTTATAAGTTTAAGGAATATAGGCCCGATTTCAGTACTCAGCTGTTATTCTTTAATGTAATTAGCAGATGGGCTATGAACAAAATTTCTATACCTAATTTTCAAAATCAAGAATAACTTTTTAAAATGGCCAATGCTAGAGCTTCCAACATGATTCTTGGTAAATTGTTGAGGGGATTTTCTCACAATATACTATGAATTTAGAGTTTTCAAATAAAATTCCTTACTGTCTACTCTTGTCTTGAAAGATTTTACTCTGCCACTATGCATGTACATAAACTACTATGGCTTGGGTAAGATGGGTAACATCATAAAGGACCATCATCGGCACTGATCTCACCTATACCCTGCAGAAGCAGTAAACTTGATACAATTAAAGCACAGCACCTAGTTCTATCAAGACTTCTGACTAGACATGCCCATTCATCAAAAATTAAATTAGGGATGTAAAAAAAATTAAATGTAGCCATGTATCTGCTAAAAATCCTAGCAGTTATATGCACTGTGGCCTCTGCAGTATAAAGCTTATACTGGGACTGGTAGCTGCAGAGCTGGCTTCACTGTGGGTTCTGCAGAGCTCACAGCATGGGGTGACAGGATTTCCCAGGAGCCAGCGAGTAATCGTAACAAACAGATAAGCTGAGGCTTACTGGCTTAGCCATTTAAACCGTTATACCAGGGTTTCCTAACCAGGGTTCTAAAGACCATCATCAGGGGTTCAGCAAGAAATTGTGAATTAAATAAATAAAAAAAAGTTCTCTTACAATGTAAGCTGACATATAAATAACAGCTCTTTACAAATCAATTTTCTTGACAATAATTTAGCAGTAATTGAATGCACTCTCCACTGTCAACTTTTTCTTGCCAAGCAAATGTTTTCATAGTTAGGGGTTCCTCAAGATATGAAAAATTATTTTAGGGTTTCCTCCATGAGAAAAAGATTGGGAATTACTGGGTTATACTTTTACCTCCCTAACTGATTCCAAAACATTTCAATCTCCAGCAAACTTCTGCAAGATGCCTGCTTGGCTTCCTGACATTTGCTTACCTACTTGCTGCTTCTTATAGCTCGCTAAGGAGAGCGGAGCACTTGGGAGCCCACAAGCCCTAGCCTCAGGGTATTCCATCAAATCCCTTGTCTGAATCAACTTCTGCAGCCCCCATTTGTAACAAAGCCAAAACTTTTAAATCTCACAATCCTCTTGTAACATTAGTATCAAGTAAAGCAAGGTAACAAGTGCAGATTCACTACCAGACCTTAAAGATACAACACTTTCCAAAACACTGTTGAAAATATTTTTGTGTTTAATAAACATTATCAACTCACCAAGTTTAAAAAAGTGATCTCTGATAGTACTTAAACAAAACATTTGTAGTAACAAATACTGTATATAAAGGTAAGTGAAGTTAATACAGAACAAGACTAATCATTTCTCACTGTTCAGGCTATAGTGCAGAGAAGGAAAAGCTCAAAATATTAACTTAACCCCATAACCTAGGGGAGTGCCAGCCAATTCATAAATTATTTGTAGATATACAAACCGAAGTCACCTAACAATTAGGAGCCAGAGCCCTCTCTACTCAAGCACTGACTATTAAACAGAGTGCTAATTCTTCTACAAGATTTGGTTCAATGACACCACCTGTATGAAGGTAAACAACTTCCATTAAATGTACTTCTCTCATTAAAGGTATTTTACAGCTATTTATCTGCTTCTGAACAGTTAATCTACTGGAACAGGATCCATTTTAACTGCTTTAAGCAACTTTTAAAAGCACCACACAGAGCTCAAGTACAGTAAAGGTAACATACTTATCAAACAGACTCTCATCGTGTTGAAAAAATTAAGTTAGTTAAACAGCCATCTCCATTTTAATAGCTGGATGTGGGTTATAATCTTCAATCTGAAAGTCATCTGCTTTGAAGTCACTGATGTTTTCAACTTTACGAAGAATTTTGAGTTTTGGGAAAGGTCGTGGTTCCCTCTGGAGCTGAAATTAAAGAGAATTTGACTTGTTTGTACAAGAACAGTGACCAGTGAAAGTAGATTTCTTAGGTTTTTCAGTTAGACCTCATCTTCCATAATATTCTCAATGCTGTAACAGTAGGTAGATATTTGTGTGAAGAATGTGGAAAGATTGATATGAAGTGAACAAATGCTTATAAGAGACCCAATAAAAGTACAGAAGAGCCTTGTCATTCAGTTTGATACTCACTATGAATTACTGGTTTGCAAATTGTGATTTATACATAATTAAGGATAACGCATCAAAGTGCATTTTATTCGTTTAGTCCAGAGGTGGCCAACTTGTGGCTCGGGAGCTGCATGTGGCTCTTTCCCCCCTCCCCTCTTAAAGTGCGGCTCGTGGAGCTGCCCCTATGCCCCCAGAAACGGTCCCAAACAAAAATTGCTCAAAAAAAATTCTGTTGTAGCTCTTTGCAATTTTTCCACCACTGTTTCGGCTCTCTTCGTTTAATGGGTTAGCCACCCCTGATTTTGTCAGTGACTGTTTTGTTGATAAGTATAAAAACACTAATATTTTGTAACAACGACAGAGCAATGTTGGAGAAGAAGTCAGAGGATCGGGAATGCACATTAAAGATAGTATTTACAATGAAAAATCTCCACACTACCTGATCTAAAAATGCAGGATTACGATAAGTTGTGCAAACAATCGTGGTAGATATCAGAAAACCAAATTCATCACAATAGATACTTACTTGAATTTTTAAAGGTTCGACATGATTCAGATATATATGAGCATCTCCTAGCGTATGTATGAATTCACCAGGCTGAAGAGAAAAAGGGGAAAAAAGTCTTCAGACCAAGATGGTGACATTTCAGGACTGTAGGACACTGTAATGCTTGTGGCAGAAGTTCCTAGCACCTCTGTTGCTGAAGTGTAGCTCCTGCACCAGATTGTCTTAATAAGCCATTTCCTTACAAGTTCAAGTACTGTCCTTCCCTAACGTAACCAATCATTATCTTAAGCAAAGTATGAAGTCCTAAAAGGATTTTGCAACAGGTATAGCAATTGAGCAATCATTTATCTGCTAACGTAAGTTGAGAGAGATGCAGATAATGAGAAATACAGCTTTCTCCATCTACCTTGAAGTAACAGGTTGCAAGTATATCTTAGATATTAACAGTGCTACAGTGATCCATGCTTCCACCTCAATGTTAGGGTTGTAAAAGAGTAACTGTTCAAATGGTTAACTGACAGGCATCAACTTATTGGTTGCCTTTATGGTGACACACTGGCTCCCCAAGACCAGCACCTGCTATCACCCCGCACTGTGGGTTCTGCAGCATAAAGTTACACTGCAGAGATCGCAGTGAAGCCAGCTCCCTGGGAGGCAGGGCCGCTGAGTGCCAGGAGCCCACTCCCAGGGAGCTGGCTGCATTGCAGCATAAAGTTTTTTACTTCAGAGCCCACAGCACATGTAACCACAAGGATTTTTAATGGTTACACTTTTCAATGATTTTTACATCCCTGCTCACGATTGGATTACTGGAATGCATACCCCGGCATTCTATTAGGAAATCAAAGCAACTCATTACAGGGAGTTCCTTGCAGGAGCACATGAAATTGGTGTAGAGTGATCTGCCCTGACAAATTAAAGTCCCAAGAGTATGTCTATACTGCAGCTGAAAGCCTGCCTCCTAATCCAGGTACGTAGGTTATACTAGCATGCTCAAACTAGCAGAATGACTATTGTGGAAGACAAAGAAGCTCCAATGGGCCACCTGAGCTCAGACAGACTTAGACTCGGGCAGCTAACTAGAGCCACCCCTCATTCTATGGTGCTACTTTTAGTGATCTGGCTTGCGCAAAGATAGCATGAGTTTGTCCGCCCACATGGAGAGGCATGTTCCCAGCTGCAATGCAGACATCCAAAATAGCTTTCAAATTGTCTAGCTGAGAAACATGCCTCACTATTGCCACAGCTGTGGTTTAAAACAGGGAGCTGCCAGCAGGATCTTCTCTGTAAGGAGCACTGAACTTTGGAATTCTCTTCCCAGGCTCTTGATCTGAAATAGCCCACATCTGTTGGCCTTCATGGCATGCTACAAATCATAGCTATCCTTGTATTTGGAGAAGCACTGGTATTTTTTCCAGCTGGGGGAGCTGACAGGTTGGTTTGTCTGCAATAATATTTCTTGGCAGAGGTACCTAGCTCTGCATAAGCATTTTGTTTATGTTAAGCATTACTTAATTTACCATCATTGCTGATTTAGGTCTAGTGCTTAGTTTACTGCTCCTGAAATTATCTGCAATATTTTGCAAAGGGATACTTAGCCATAGCATGTGGCAAAATACTGGATTGTAAAAGCACAGATACTTAATTTGCCTGCTGTTATTGCAATATTTAATGTTATCCAAAAATTCACAAGTCTTAAATGAGTTAGTTCTTTACTGCAGCTTTCTCCCACAAAAAAGTCTGTCTTGCTTTAAGAGGAGGGGTAACAGTTAAGTGAAGTTGTGGAGGAGAGATCAAACTTTATTTACTTTAATTGCCTTTGATATAAAACTTATTCTAAGTCCTTACTGATTATAAAGCATGATTTTTTTCCACACCCCCATTTTATCTCCTCAGTGCTAAAATGGAAGCAGCAACTCCTAATAATAGCACTAGGCAGGGGATATATGTGTGCAAAACAACCACATTATCACGATTACATCTCTTCTGCTCTACCAAGTCACAAGACTGCAGTATCTCTGGAAAAAGACAAGAGGCGGCTAACAGAAAAAAGCAGTACTACACAAAAGTGAAAAATACCCAGTTGAAACCATAGCAGGAAGTTAGACAGATCACAATATGCAGATTGGAATCTGTGAAGACGGCTGTTGCAGAAGCACAAAAATACACCCCCTGGCATTTTTTTGTCACCAAAGAGAAGAGTACTCAACTCTGATTTTTTAGTAGCTAAACTGGTAGATTAAGCCACGACATTCCTTAATTTTGACAAGTTTTTTTCCACAAGGTTTATAGAGTATTTGATGTGAGTGACCACTATGAGATTTATTGAGTTCTTGTAGTACAGGCCACCCCACTAACACATAAAATATATCTACGGCGTCCATTCTGTATTAGGGATGTCACTAGTTAACTGGTAAACATCACCCTCAGCAGCACAGCTGGGCTGGAACAGCTCGCCACCTGCCCACAGTGCAGTGTGCTGGGCCCAGCCGGAGCAGTTCCACACCCATGGTGTAGTGCGCAGGCTCAGCCAACACAGTCCCCACTTGGGCTGGGGCAGCCCCCTGCCTGGGCTGTAGGTGCTTCTGTTCAGCCAGGTCTACAGCATCATGGGCGGGAGGCGCTCCAGTCCAGCTAGAGCAGCCCCTAGCTGCGGTGAGCCCGGCCTAGCTGCAGCAGGCCACGGGATCCCTTTCAATCAATTAACCAATGTTTAACTAGTTAACTGATTAAATGGGACTTTACATCCCTATCCTGTACATATTTAAACTTTTGAACATTGTGTTCATTCCAGTTCTTCTTACATAAATATTAATCTATTTAATCTGTTCAAACAAATCTTTAAGCAAAAAGGATACTATACCTTCAGGCCTGTGACATGGGCAATCATATATGTGAGCAGTGAATAACTGGCGATATTGAAAGGCACCCCTAGTCCCATGTCTCCAGATCTCTGATACAACTGGCATGACAGTTCACCATTTAGAACATAAAACTGGCAAAGGGCGTGGCATGGAGGCAAAGCCATTAGTGAAATATCTAAGGAGTTGCAAAACAGAAAAAGGGGAAGGGAAGCAGTATTAAGACACCATGAAAGAGCAGAAAACTAAATGTATATAGAAATACCATAAATACACCAAATAGCAATATTAAAGCACATATTGTAGTTCTATTGCTTTTATTAAGCCTTTTTAAATATTGCTGTTACATAGTCAAGCAACTAGTATCTGGTAGTGGTAATTGCTAGCATTAGCTGTGACTAGATGGACAAAAGAAAAATCACATCTTGAAATTCCACTGAGAAAAAGGTTTTAGGCTCTGATATGTAAATACTTGACACATGCTAAATTTTACTCATGAGAATAATCTCATCAAGTCAATGGAACTAATAATGTGAGTAAAATTAAGCACATGCAGAAGTGTCTGCATTTTCAGTGCTTTAGTCATTCAGCTTTTGTTTTTCTTCTTCAACAAGTTTCTGGCTCTAATTATGATTTGTACAGTAGTAGCACCTCAGAACCCATCATGTACCAGTACTACACAGACATGGGAAAAAACCCCACATCCACTGCATCAGAGAGCAGAAGATAAAATGTAACAGGTGGACAGGGACAAAAGAGGGAGCACATGGGAACAATGAGATAATACTGGCCAGCATGATGGGCAGCAGTCACAGCACTCCTGCCATCTGCTGTACACTGAAAAGTAAAAGCTCACACAAATGTTACAACCTTTTACAGCAAATGTTGATGTTATTTTTGGAAGAGAGAAAAACAATAAGTCCAAACAGAAAGGCCTACTGATATAATTCAAGGACTGTGTTAGCATCATGCCTGGTAAAAAGAAGATCAATGGGCCAAAGTTTTCATGTTGGAAATCCGTCTCAAATTGGTGGACAAAATAATGAGATGGGCTAATCCACCCATTACTCCCCTTTTAGGGGTCTTTAAGAAAAGATTAAAATGTATTAGATACTTGAGAGAGTTTGTGGCAAGTCTGTCTGTTCAAGATCTCCTAAATGGCAAGAGCTAGGACCACGAAATTTGGTATGTAGCTTCTTTTTATCATAGCTTAAAGTAAGGTCAGGGTTTGGTTATGCCAGGACAATGGGACGTGCTTGCAACTGTTTTTCATAACACAGAAAGGAAGGAGGCAACTAGCAGGGATAGTTATAGTGTGTAACGACCACGGGGGACAGCAAGGAGTGAGGGAGAAAGAGATGGGGACTGGGATAGCTATAACCCCATTGGGGCTGCAGAGGTGGAGGTAAGCTTCCTACCTACTCCGGGTAGTGCGGCCCCTATCAGCTCTTGCAAATCCCCCTCCCTCTACCCCATCTTCAATCCTGAGCTTATCCCCACTCCCCAATCCTGACTCCTGCACCCCCCCCACATCCAACTCCCTGCCCATAGATCCTCCTCACCCCCCCAGCCTGACTCCAGTACTCCCTCCCCCCCCACACACCTGCCGCCTCTCTTTACCACTCAACCCTGATTCTTTCATGTCTCCCTCCCCTCTCCAGTACTGAAGGACCTGAGCAACACCAGGTAAGTCTTCTAATATAATATAATAATAAACAAGGGATGGGGTGAAGGCTAGGACTTTAACAGGATTCAAAAAAGAGCTAGATAGATTAATGGAGGTTAGGTCCATCACTGGCTACTAGCCAGGACGGGTAGGAATTGTGTCCCTAGCCTCTGTTTCTCTGGAAGTGGGAGATGGGAGGGATCATGTGAGGATTACCTGTTGTGTTCCCTCCCTCTGGGGCATCTGGTATTGACCACTGTCAGCAGACAGGATACTGGGCTAGATGGACCGTTGGTCTGTCCCAGTATGGCCCTTCTTATGACTTTGGAGAAAAATCCAAAACACCTGGCTGACTGAAGATGGCAGAGGAAAGGAGCAACCTTTATGATCTTGTCCACCACCCACTCTGTCACTCTAGGACCCAGATATTTATTATAACACTAATGGACTTTCATTATTCTGATCCTCAGAAGTGCCCAGACCAGACTTCAGTATTCTTTCCCATCCCTTTCCTTTTGTATAATAAAAAGTCCAGTTACATGAGCCAAAACTGAATATTTTGCAACACTGCACTAAGCCTGTGACCAAAGAAACAGCTAAAAGCTAAACAGTCTGATGCTGGAAGAAGTTTGCCAGGTCTTGGAATGGCCAATAAGACTACGAGCCATGCCTGTGTTTCTCCTGCAGTGAAGTTGCAAGTTCTCCAGCAGTGAAGTCAACAGCAGAGACAGAAGCTGCATTTTCTATCTTTGTTCTTTTCTCTCCTCTTTTGAGTGTTTGTCTTTTGTTGTGTTTTCTAGGAAACAGGATCAGACTTTATCAACAACAGTGATAACAGCTCTTTTCCCTAAAAAGGACAGTTATCACCATCTTGGAGACTGTCAAACACAGGGAATTTTCCTTCTAGCAGCTTTTCCCAGCTAAAGAAACAGGTAACAAGGGATGTTGTTAAAATGGAAGCCATGTTTTATACTTTACATTTCATTTAACTAATATTCCTTTTGTCTGTATCTTTAATAAAAAAGTGAATAAGATTGTTACTGGTGTGTTTGTCTTGATACAAGCAAGCTGCAGTCTTTATATACCAAACCTTTCTTAAAACTGTTTAAGGTTGGACTGTTTCAGGGTCATTTGCGCATCACTGGCTCTTCGGGCCCATTTATTCCATCTAAATACAATATGCCTATTTATTCTCATATTTTTCTAGACATCACATCAAAGGAGAGATATAGGGAAGAATGTAAAGGAGACTAATGAAGTGGTTTCGTGATGTTTTATGTGCAGCTCTTCCCATGCATGAGACATAGAACAGAAGAAAGCATGAAGGTACTTTTTTGGAAACTGAACAAAGTGGGTGATAAAGTCTGACATCACTGGCAAGGTAGATATGCAAGTCAACATCTTGGCTGGGTATGAGAGATGGTAGGTAACACGAGGATAGGCTGTGAAGGTAAAATCTAATAGATTATGTTTGAGGCAATGGAGAAAGAAGGAATGCAAAGAGGGTAACATGATCAAATAAACTAGGTCAATGATCCTTGCAGAAGCATTCTCAATGTATATACGCAGGGTGAGACTGCCTAGGTCAGAGAAGAATGCTGCAGGAGTCAAAATAATGAGATACTAGAGGCGTGAACTCTGAACAGAGAAGTAAAGATAACAGGCAGGAAAGAACAAGATTTAGACTAAGAGGGCTAAAACTTTACTGGTTCATGTACCACCAGCACAAAAAAAAAAAAAAGAGTCTAAAATGAACTGATGGAATATACAATGTACCATAGTTAGGGAAAACCTGATTTAGAGACTGAATGACAGGATCTATAGAAGTGATCAAGTTAAAGATGTAACATGACAGAAAAGATAATGATGTCCATTGAGACTGAGAAAACAGTATTTTGGGGGCTAAAATTAAGAATCTGGTTTTGGCTTTGTTGATTTTAAGATGACAGCTGGACATCCCAAAGGTGTTACATTACTTTGGAGTGCCTGATCTTTGTTAACCCTCCATCTACTGTACAGTTGCCCTTTGATGGGAACATTTCAGAAAGCCATGCTGGGGGGAAACTGGCTTTTTAAATATACAGTAGCAGGAAAAACAACTAATACAATCATTTTGTAACTGGATGCTGCATGTTGGCCTCTCTTCTAGATGGCAAGTACCTTTAAATACTAAAGTTCTTACATAGGCCCCTGCCTTCAGAAAAGATTCTAAACAAAAAAGAAAAAGAGCACTAATTTTTTTGAAATATTTTCTTCTTCCTTCCCTTCTCAAGATTTTAGAATAATTCTATAATTTAATACAGTTAAAAAAGACTTGTTTATATTCAATTGAGTGTCCTTTAAAAAAAAGTTCTACTTTTTTTTTTTAATTATCTGCAGTGCCTTTGAATAGTGACTGTATGTAGAGGGCAACAATAATAATTTATTTCCATTTATGCTAAAATGGAAAATATTTGAAAACATACATGATGATTTGGGGCTTAGGATCTAGTAATTGTGCAAGGACTAAGTGAGCACCAATGAGCTAGCTTAGCACGCACCACAGTAATGCGCAACTATATTCATTTCATTACTGTACCTTTGGGATTCCAAGCACACATGATGATTCTTCTGTCATCTGGATTGTTTTTGATTGTGTCAATTACATTCTGCAGCTGGTCCACTCCTTGGCCTGAGTAATCTGAAGACAGATTTAAATAAGTCATACAGCCTAAGGTTGTTTTGACAATGGCTGCCTCCAAAACTACTTTAGAAAGCCAAGCCTATACCTTTCAGTAAAATTACACTAACTGTGCCCTCTTCTGATCCCACCTTGTCATGTTAAAGGCTTACACCTTAATACATCTTCTGAGTCTTCTCATCCCTCCCCACTCTTCTAGCTAGTTCTTTGGGGGACCCAGATGATAGCTCTAAGCTTTGGGAAAAGCAGGTGTCAACTTCCCCTCTTTTCCTGCATGCTTTGAGCAGTGATATTGACACTTAAAGCATCATCTCTGGCATCTGGGTTAGTACAAGCTGAAATGGGATCATACACACCTACTAGCTCTCACTCTCTCTCTGCCAGCTCACATAAGTGTCTGCATCCTTACAACCCAAGACCAGGTCTACATTTGAAATGTACATGGACACAACAAAGGCTTACAGAGATGTGAACAAATTCATATATCTGAGTGCTGTAGGTATGTAAACCTATCCCCCAGAGTAGACAGATCAATGACAAAATGCTTCTGTTGACCTAGCTATCATCGCCTGAGGAGATAGAGATCTCAAAGCAATGGAAAAAGTCCTTCCATCACTGTAGTCTGTAGCCATACTTTGAGATTGCAGTGGTATAGCTATAACGTGATTGCTATGCTGCTAATACCCATAGTGTAGGCCTGATCATGTTTGAACTTTTTTCTTCTCAAGCACAACGGCTAAAAACTAAGTGAAAGCTGAGACCCTGGGGAATAACTGAGGGAGTCTGTTTATGTCACTTTAGGTCTTAGAGTCTGCAGAGTTTAAAAAAAAGTAGAACTAGAATGCCATTTTTATCACCCTTAATGTCCTGTGTTAGAAAATTCAAAAAAGCCAGATTTCAATGGCAAACAAGAGAAATAAGAAGAATAAAATAAAATATGAGGCCATTTTTGGTTACTGGTACTGATCATTTGTATTTCTACTAGCCTGTTATCCAACAGACTGACTACCTGTCTTTTTTTCGTCCTATACCGACATATGAACATTTAGAGGTTATTCTGGTATGACAGTGCTCTCTCTGTAAAAAGAAGTTATGATCAGGTTGATTGTGTGAAGTACTATAGATCTTCTTTACATTTTTACTTGCCTATTTAGATCGAGAAAACAGTTTTTGATGGCTGAATAAAACCACCTCTAACATAACGCAAGCTAAGCTTGAGAGTGTCATAATTTTCCAATGATACTTTTCTGTAAACAGCACAAATTAATGTGCTAATTATACAAATTAATAATAGCAGCTCTCTCAAATGAGTGATGTTAGTGAATTTCCAAAAAAACAAAGATGTCTTGTTACAATTGGCACCTTTGCTGGCTGCTTAGCCAGAAAGGAAAAGAACTAAATGGGCATGAAAACCAAAATATCCTCCCACCTACAGGTGATCATACAGAACAGAACAGCATACTGCCTGTGATTCACCCATTCTACAAATAGACTACCGCCTGCAATACTGCATATCTCATAATGGTGGATTTTCCAATATAATCTCCCAAAAAGATCTGACTCTCAGTTTCCATTATAAATGTCTTCTTTATGCTCTTTCCATGCCTCCAGAAAGTGAGACCATAGTAACCCTGTCAGACTTACTAAGCACCAAAGAAAACTTCCAAAGGGGAAAACTTGAGCATTTATCTACTTTCCTCACCTGCATTCATATCTTTGTATTCAGCCCCAAAGTGTCTCCACTGGAAACCATATACTGGTCCCAAATCCCCTTCCTCTCTCTTACTGAAACCTTGTTTATCCAAGAAGTCACGTGATCCATTGGCATCCCAAATCTTCACTCCTTTTGCAGAGAGCTCTTTAGCATTTGTTGAACCCTATATGATGAAAGAAATATAAAAGCAATTCTACATGCCAGGATAAAGGGCTAAATTTTAAATTGTGGTGCCAACTTAGACCATTCTAAAGTCTTTCTCTAGTTACTATGGAGAGAATGAAAGCTTCCAGTAGCCGAGTTAATCTGTAACAGGAAAACCTTAATAACCAATAGTCTAGTAGCACTTTAAAGACTAACAAAACATGTAGCTGGTATCATGAGCTTTCATGGGCACAACCCACTTCTTCAGATGACTGGTCATCTGAAGAAGTGGGTTGTGCCCACGAAAGCTCATGATACCAGCTACATGTTTTGTTAGTCTTTAAAGTGCTACTAGACTTTTTTAATGGAGAGAATGAGAAGTCTTGGGATTAAGCCTCAGGATCTGGCTCCTGTTACGTGCATACAATAAAACTAAATTATAGACAATCTATTACTGAGAACTGAATAATGCTGCTCTAGTCATTTAATTCTAGTCTTATACACTGTAGGCCAATAGAGGTTCAAAGTTGCTTGAGCACAGACCCTTCAGGAAACAAGGTTTTACTTTTTGATTGATGCAACAAGAAATACTTATTCCATGTCTGTGCAATTCTGCTACTCCCGATACACCTGCTATCACAGCCTTCGTGAAGTGGCTTAAAAGTCATCCCTCCACCCCCAAGGACATGCAGTCCCTTTTCTTTCCCCCTTGCTTGTTTCTGTTTTCTAGAAGCTTAAATAAATGTCATGCTCCTGAGAGATGCCATTAGAAATAACCTGAAGTTGTGTTTAGTCACTGAGCAAAGGGTAGACTCCCATATTCTACTCTGCCACTTTGTATAAAAGCTAGAGAAAAGGATAAGAAAGCAAATCCCCTGAGTTTAAAATGGCATTTAAAGTGAATAGAGACTTAAGTACCACCAAAACACGTTCATAGTCTTGGAGTACAGCATTGTGCTGGTTCACAGCAGAAATGTTTCTAGTCCTTACAGTTGAAAAGATAAGCCTTTTCTTTTCTTTCTTTTTTTTTTTAGAGTACAAGTTCTTCAGAAATTGATATCTAGATAAGTGGATTTTTCAAGTTCTTATATAGCAGCAGTTAATCAAATGTTACTCATTATTTGCATAAGGGAACATCTATAGCAGTGTTTCTTAAACAATGTTGCCGCAAGGCAGTCAGAGGTGTGTCACGGAGAACAGAGTTCAAAATCGCCACCCTTAAAGGGCCAGGCGACCTTTTTTTCTTCAGTAACTTTCCCCATCCCACCCTACCCCCTTTATTTTTTTTGACTCAACAAAAAAATCCTTGGTGTTCCTCATTAAAAAAAAATATTTTTTGGTGTTCCTCGGTCTTAAAAAGTTTAAGAAACACTGATCTATAGGGCAATACACCATCTTAGCACGTGTCTATGCAAGTTTTATGGGTATAATCTCTTGTTAGAGGTATGAGTGCCTTTTTTTTTTTGGCCAACAGTTATATCGGTAAAAGTCTAGTATAGATGTACATATACCAGTATGAAAGTGCTTTATACTGGGAGTATCTCATTTTGGTTATTATACCAGCAGAATTGCATTCACACAGGGTTTTCCTGTTTTAACTACAGAAGTATTGTTTAAGGAGTACATTTTATAGTGTACATCAATGCTTCATCATTTTAGAATATTTCACTAAAAGCAGCAAAGGTAAGATTTAATCACCATTCCCACAAGATTACACTAGCACCCTAACCAAAACAAACATTTTGTTTTGGAAAAATAAATTGGAAAAATACTAGAAGGTCACAACTTGTTTCCATTCATTCAGGAATAAACATCTGTAAGTGTTCCAAAAAATGTTCCCTCTAATGTTTTCCAAACGTGTGGAAAAAAAATGTTTATATGCTTTCAGGCAGGTGTGAATGTGCACCACAAGTAGAAACACATGCTGCAGGCTGGGGTTGCTCTACTGATCAGCTGGGTGACATTTGAATCTCTTCTGGTAGCCGCTGACGCACTCACTGGTTGCAAATACCCCAGTCCACAGTATATATTCTATTGATAGCATTGTCAATGCACATTACTAATTTAAACAACCATGCATCATACCTGGATAAACCATAGCAGCTCTTCCAGCACTCCTTTCCAGAACACTCGTTTTGTTGTCAGCAAAGGAAACTGATCTGAAAAAGAGTTAAAGTGCCAAATCAGCAAAGTCACTTCTCACTAATCAACTATCGCTGTTAACTGATAAATACTCATAGACTCAGACTCCAAGGTCAGAAGGGACCATTATGATCATCTAGTCTGACCCCCTGCACAGTGCAGGCCACAAAATCTCACCCACCCCTCCTAGAATAATCCTCTCACCTATATCTCAGATATGGAAGCCTTCAAATACTTTGAAGACCCCAAGATGCAGAGATCCTCTAGCTGTGATCTGTACCCCATGCTACAGAGGAAGGCGAAAAACCTCCAGGGCCTCTGCCAAGTGTTAAAAGCTTTGATATTGCTCTGTTGTGCATGTTCAATGTGTACTATCACAATAGGAGCCTGGTTTGTTGTAGCACTCATTTAGAGCTTGGTACAGCACTGTAATAAAAAAAGCACACAGTGATGAGTGAAAATTCTACTGGAACTTCACGAAAGTGAGGAGCACAGGCATCCAACCTTATTCCTAAAAAATGGTCCTTGGCGCCAAGTACATGGCCAGAAAAAGATAGGGGTTAATCAGAAATACGTTGTTCAGGAAACATAATGCTGGAGTGCAGTTAAGAGCCTATGGGAAGGTAAAATATGCCCACATGCAGTTGAATTCAGAGGCTCAAGATCAAGTTCTGGTCAAGCCTACTTCACTAGTGTGGAGGTGAATCTGACAGGGGGTAGTAAAACTGTCTTAGGGGGTTAGCCTTTATCAGACCTAGCCTCTTTTCTTATTTTTTCCCCATAAAACAGCTATGGAGGGCAGATGCAATGAGGCTCAGCCACCTGCTCCATAGGTCAGTAAAAAGAAGAGATGCAGATAAGTTTAGAGACCTTGTGTAAGGAAGATGGACAACTGGAGGTTCTCCTCTGTAGGGGGGAGTTACCCATTTCTGTATTAACCCCACGGAATCCCTGCCTATAAAAGGTGGAGGTCAATAGAAGAGTTCAGCAGTAGCAGCAAAGGAAAAGGCTGGTGCCCACAGACAGCACTATCCTTAAGATGTGGCATAGTCTTCCCTCTGAGAATGACCACATCCCTCACCCAGACGACAACTGGAGACGGTTAGCAGCATTCCCTCAGATACCCATGGCAAGTTTTGGAGAGTGTTGGGGGGAGGGGTAGCAGCCAAGGATGAGGCAAACAGCAGTGGGGGTGAGCAGTGTGGGGGCATGAGAAGATGGTAGTTTACAGCCAGCTCAGGAATCATAGGAAGCACTTGGCAGGCCTGCCAGGCATGGGGCCAGGTAGCTGATGGGATGTGGTGAGGGATTGGAGGGGGGGTCCATGGGGAAGGGCAGAAAGGGATGGGGAAGAAGATGCTGCGCAGGAGGGCATGGTGTGTAGGAAGTCTGTGGAAGAAGGGCCCCATGGGTGGGAGAGTTCTGTGGAAGGGGGGCCCATGGGGAAAGGCAGAAAGGGATGGGGGAAAAGGATGTTCTGTGAGGGGCCAGTGGGGTGAAAGAGATCCATCCGGGGCATGGGAAAAGGCAGAAAGGGATTCTGTGCGAGGGGCCAGTGGGGTGCAGGAGGTCTGTGGGGTGGGGGGAGATGAGCAAAGGCAGAAAGGGATGGGGGA